CGGGGGCAGGCAGCACGCCCTCTCCGAGGAGGGTGCTCCCTCCTGCTCTGCCACCAGCAGACCCAGTTCTTCTAATGCAATTAGCCAGCAGGCACTCAGAGGTCACCAGGAGCTCCTAGGAACTAGATGCCACGGGAGAGAACGAAACAGACACCGGGACCAAACCTGAAGAGACTTCAGACAGACCCTCTAAGCTGGAAATGCCCACTCCGCTCCAGTCAGTAGGAGAGGATCCCGCAGGGAACAGAAACTACCAAGTGGCACAGCAGCCTGGCCGGTGTGGCTCGGGTGGTTGGAGCCTCGTCCCGTACACCAAAGGCGGCAGCTTTGATTCCCGGTCAGGGCACATGCCCAGGTTAATGTTTTTAAGTGACACAGCTGAATGAAAAAGAACCAAGTGGAATTTCTAGAAATAAAAAGGCTTCAATAAACAAATGTTAAAACTCACGGAGTATACTTAACAGGCGAACAGACAGAGCTGAAGAAAGTTAATGAAATGCTAGCAACGCTTGCGATGGTTGGTGCATTCCAATCTACTCCGCCCAGGTCCTTCGAGGACGACGGCCCCGTTGGGCGGTCAGAGCTGTGTCTGTGACACCCACCGCGAGGGGACCCAGGCCAGGGATGAGCCCAGGGTGGTCCCCCTCCCGACTCCTCTCCAGCAGTTCTGGGAACTCACTAGCCGGTAAGTCGTCTTCTGCTCTCACACGGACCCTCCCTCAGGGCTGCCCACAGCCTGCAGGACGTGCCTGCTGAGCGAGCAAGTGCTCAGAGCCCCTGACATGTCTGGGGCCCAGGCACCTCTCCGTGCTCTTCCTGGGCCAAGCTCTTTGCCCAAAGGCAGCGCTGTCAGAACCCAGCGGAGCCGGCGCCTTCCTTCTCGCCAAACTGCGGGGCCGAGGGGGGTCGGGCAGCCAGAGGCTGAGCCCACACAGGAGCAGCGGCGTCAGGGCAGGAGGAGAGTCCCGATCCAGGGGCTCCCACAGGAAGGACGTGGGGGTGGGGCGTGTACCTGTGGGTGTGGGGGCCCCAGACCCATGAGGCTGCAGGCAGCAAGGTCTTCGTTGACTAAAGAAAATCAACTGTCCTTCCCTGAAAGTAACTGCAGTGTGTGTAACACTCCAAAGCCACTGCCGCTGCCTACATCACCAGGGGGCTCTCCGGTCCCCCACAGATCTCGGCAGGTCTGGGTGAGGCCTGGAATGTGCATTTTAAAGGCACACACACACACACTCACACACACTCACACACACACATGCATACACACACACTCACACACACATACACACTCACACACATATACATACACATACACTCACACACACATACACACACACACATACACACTCACTCTCACACATACACACACGCACTAACACACACTCACATACATACACATACAACACATACATACATACACACAACATACATACACACTCTCACACACATATATACACACACCACACACACTCACTCACACATATACACACACTACACACACATATGCACACAATCACACACACTCGCTCACACACACACTACACACACACTCACACATACACACGCACTAACATGCACTCACACACATACGCACACGCATACACACACAGCACACATACACACTCATACATACACACTCACACACACTAACACACACACACTCACACACAGACATACACACACATATATATATACACACTCTCACACCCATACACACACGCACTCACACACACTCACTCACACATATACACACCCTACACACACATATGCACACAATCACACCCACTCGCTCAC